GAGGCAGGAGACTCACTTGAGCCCAGGAGTTGGAGGTTGCTGTGAGCTGTGATGTCACGGCACTCTACCCAGGGTGAGAGCTTGAGTCTCTGTCTCAAAAAAATAAAAAAAATAAAAAACAAACAAACAAGCTGGGCATGGTGGCTCATGTCTGTAATCCTAGCACTCTGGGAGGCTGAGGTGGGTGGATTGCCTGAGCTCATGGGTTTGAAAGCAGCCTGAGCAAGAGCAAGACCCCATCTCTAAAAATAGCCAGGTGTTGTGGTAGGCGGCTGTAGTCCCAGCTACCTGGGAAGCTGTGGCAAGAGGATCACTTGAGCCTAAGAATTTGAGGTTGTTGTGAGCTATGACACCACAGCATTCTACTGAGGGCAACAGAGTGAGACTCTGTCTCAGGAAAAATAAACAAAAAATAAAAAACCCCAAACAGGTGCTCTTTTGAAAGCCTTTTAAATAATACTTTAAGGGGTAAGAGGAAGAGAAGACGGCTTGGGTGTGGCTGAGATAACGGGTAAGGGGAAGAGACGACAGCATGGGTGTGAGTGCAATTGGGGAGACAATGGAAAAAACATAGGGAGGCTACTGGAGTGTGACCCCAGAAAATCTTCCCTACTGTGGCTCTAATGTGTCCTCCCTTCCCTCATTCACTATCCCTGCACAACTCCCTCTGTCTTCTGCTGCCTTCCCCTGTTAGAGCAATGGAGTTAAAGGGACACGGCCAAAGATATTCCCTGATTATCACTACTTTTTAATCCTCACATTGGAATCAGTGGGGGAAACAATGGCATCTCTGCCTTGTCTCCCATAAACCCTTTCTCTTCTTTCTCCTCCTCTTTATCCCAGCCTTTCTCCCTCCCTCCCTATACTTCTCTCTTTTTTTATTTGGCAAATAGTCTTTCCACCTCCAGTGTTCCTAATGATCTTTGAAATATAAAGATAATGTCTTGGAGAACAGTGTTCCCATACCCTGTGTCCCTTTAACCTGGTCCGCTTGTTTTGGCCTCCTTATTTGCTCCCTAGTGTCATCCGAGATCATCATGGATGCTGCCAGCCCAGCTCTGGAAACCACGTTTAGCAGTCCTTTCTACACTAGAGCCGAGGGGTGGGCAGGAGTCAGGGAGAGGGACTGGTGCCTGTTTATTTGTGAAGACCCATCCAGAGAGCAGGTCCCAGATTTTCTTTTTCAGTTGTTTAGTTCAAAAATTTTGAGAGACAGCCTTTCCAATTGCCTGTAATATTTTTGTCCAAAGTAGTGTGAGAAATGGTATCAGGGCAAGGAGATGACAGCTGTGGCCAGTGTGGATAGGAGCCATAACAGTCAGGTGCCCTGGGCAAGAGTCACTAGGCTGGGCCTCTTCAGTGCCACCAGTAAGGACCCAGTGACCTTCTTGGTTCCTTCTGTGGCTTTTCCCCAAGGCAGCTTCAGTGCTGCTCCTGAAAACAGGTCACAAGGGGTGAGTAATGGGTGAGGTCATGCAGAGGGTGCTGGAGGCCCTAAAAGGAGATGCCCTCCCATGTTTCTTGGAAAATAAGCACAGGTGGGTATTGGGGAGCTATGTCCAGGTAGGTCTGAGTGTGAATCGTCCATTCCTTCCTCTGCTGCAGATGAGTGAGAGCGAGACTCTCATCAGTATGGTGAATCGCATGGTGGAAAGCTCCTCCCCCAGGGCCCAACTCTTCATGCAAGTAAGACCTCTGCCTGGCAGCATGGTCCCCGCCAATGCCATTTCAGCTGCTTGTGCATGGTTGAGTCACCCCATCTGGGATGAGGCTCACTCCGCCCAACCCGCTCATTTGCCAGGCCTCATCTTCCCTGGAGACAGACTCAGCTTGGTCTCCTCCCTTAATTCCTCTATGTCACCTTCATTCTTCACATTCATGGGTAAATCCAAGGCCCATTTTCCAAACCATTGAGATAGCCAGCACCGACATCTCATGCCATGCTGGGATCACAAATCTGCTTTGGAATGTGCAGGACTTGTATTCCATATTTGTTGTCTTCTTGGTAGACATCATGGGGGTTAAGGGCATAAGGGGTGTAACACAGAACCATCCGATG